CCATCCCCTCCCCCATGATGTAAGAATTAAAACTTGCAACTTAAAAAGTTTCCCAATAATTTTACTATGAAATACACTTCCTTGCATGCTCTCATAAGGATTTTTAAATTGAGAACTTCTTCCACTTTTTACTACTCATGTATCTCTTCTCAACTTTTTTGTAGCACCTTTGCTTTGCAGTTTTTCGGTGTGCCTGTGTTTTTTTTTTTTAAACAGACAATCATTCTGCCAAGCAGCCAACACACCCCTGAATTTAATAGCATGGACAATTAATATAAAGTATGATAGCAACAAAGTATCTGAAAACAACATTACCAAGCTTACATTTATAAACAATTTTATCCTATCACTGTTCTAACACATAACATGTGACAATTTTACAATAAAGGCCATTTCCAAATAGCTAAGTCAAAACTATCATTCTTTACTCTCGTAACCTGAAAACATATTTCCATTCTAATCAGCATCTCTACATCAAATATCAAAGTTCCTGTCAAAGCCCCTTTTATTCTATGAATTTAAAATGCCAAGTTCCAGTAACACAAAATAATCTAGACTGCACTAAGAGTTTACTGAATTGTGATATAACTTATATTAGAAGGCTAGTATTTATCATCTGATCTTTCTGCTCCAAGTCACCTAAATAATAACATTAATAACCTAATGGGTAATAAGCTAAACAATAACATTAGTTGACAATATCTTCTCTTCCTTTCCCAAGTGGAATGCTTCAGCAAAATATAATTCTGTTCCACAATACTCCACAGACTAACAACACTTTCCTGATGTGGCTGATTACCGAAAGCGTATAGTTTTCTGTACTAGTAATATGGAACATAAGCTTTAGATATTCAAGTAAATTATTCTTTGTGTAAAATGAACCCAGAAATTTGAAATGAAGGTGAAAATTACTCCTGAAAGGGAAATGGATCCTTCCAAGACTCAGTGTCGAAAGTAATTCTTTTAATGGACCGTTAGAATCTCAAATAATAATTAGCCTCACTCAAGAAACATTCTTTCTCAGAGATTCACAATACCTAATTGTTACCAAAAAAAAAAAAAAAATAGTGAATGCAAAAAACTAAGTTATATTTCATAAGCTAAACAAACGTTGCAAAAGTTATTTCACATTTCTATGCCTTAATCCCCAACAGGACCTAAACCCTAAATGCACTGTTCATGGTAGACGCCTAAATGCTTACTGAATAAATAATGAATAAATGAAGTAAATGAAAAAATTACCTTACAGTAATATCTGTATTTCAAAAAAAAAGAAATTTGCAAGGAGGACGTTGTTATTTAAGCTAGTTACACACTATCACCCTCACCTATATCCCATAATTCAAGGGAAAGCAACATTTTGTCCCAAATGAAAGCACTCTATTACAGCCATGCAACCAATCCCAAACTACAAATCAGAAGACTTCAGTGACATCTGAAAGGAAAATGAAACACAGAAAATATCTTTAAGAAAAAAAAAAAGTCATGTAGACCAAACTGTTTTTTTAATTTACAGACCTCAGGTATACAAAACTAGATTATTCATAATCTCTGGTTTCTGATACGTTCTCAGTGCTGGTTCAAAGTCAATTTTAGAATTGATTCTATGACAGAAAGAGAAAAAAGGGACACAGACAGTGAAATGGGAACGGGGGTGGGGGGACAGGACATGTCCTTTTACAATCAGAGAATGTGCCTTGAAGTTAACACCAAGAACATTTACAATTGTGTACTTGAATGCAGTGACAGGCATTATACCCAACAACTCCCAAGAGGCAGTAGGTATCGCTGTCACAAAGACTCTGGAGCCAGAATGCCCAAGTCCAAAACCTAGCTCTGTCACCTAATATCTTTGTGACTTGGACAAGTTACTGCACCTCTTTTACGCCTCAGCTTCTCCATCTGTAAAACAACAGTACCTATCTCATTGAGTTATTTTAGGATTAAACGAGTTAATATATGCCTGGCTGTAAAGTAACGTCTGGCATATAGTATAAATACATCATTAAGTTAAATAAACTCACCATAAACTACAACAACCTAAAGTTAGTACAGCAAATCTCCCTTACAACATGGATAAAACTTTTAAATCACAGTATCTCCAGATTCTCCATCAAGTGAAAACACACTTAAGTTCAAGTGTCTTCACAAAAACTCTTAAAAATATTTCTGTACAGCTATCTCACCAAAAACAGCAAAACAAAAACCACTCAGGGGCTGAAAAGTTAATGTACAGTTCCTTCCAAAGGTTAATATGACAATAAAAGTTAGAACCGTATAGAAAAAAGTAAAGAAGAACGTACTCAGGCCGCTCCATAGTCCCTGAATTTCATCTCTCACCCACAGCTGAGCAGACCAGTAGGTACAGATGCACTCCAGAGCAGGTAAGGCCACCGCAGCTCCAAGCAGAGCACCTGGCCCACAGTAAGTGCTAAGTAACTATTTGCTGAATTAATTAATGCCCTAAACGTGAAACTACTTCTAGCCTATACTTTCTTTTCTCCACCCTTGTCAAATATAATCTGGATTTTTTTTTTAAAGAATATCTAGGTTTTCATAATAGCAAATCAATCAATTCCAAATGGGAAATGATTGGACAGGTTATTTTTTAAAAAAAGGAAAGTAGTTAAATACAACAAAAGGAACAAACATAATCTGTTCATAGGAGGAATAATTCCTTGCCCTAGAGTTTACTGTATTATGATTTTTAATGTGAGCTTTTCATATCTTTGGGGAAAGTCATGCACAAAACTTAACCACTGAAAATAAGACACCATTCAAAAACATATAACAGATCTCATCAACTCTAATTTTGTAGATACTATCATAAGTTTGTCTCCCAATCAGACCAGTACAAATACACAAAAGTCTACTCAAGGAAACACAATTTTTCCAAGTTTAGTTACTTTGGTTAACAATACTGTATATTAAAGTTATATAAACCAAAGAGATGTTTCTAACCAAAGCAAACCAGCAGATCTCTACTGGATTAAACATTTTTTTAATGCAAAGGTCTCAGGCTCAGCTGCAAAATAAGGATTGCTGGATTAGATGGTTCTTAAAAGTCCCTTTCAAAAGTAAAATCCTAGCGGGACCTCCCCAGACACGGGTTCGAGCCCTGGTCTGGGAAGATGCCACATGCCACGGAGCAACTAAGCCCGTGCACCACAACTACTGAGCCTGCACTCTAGAGCCTGCGAGCTACAACTACTGAGCCGGTGAGCCACAACTACTGAAGCCCGTGCGCCTAGAGCCCGTGCTCCACAACAACAGAAGCCGCCGAAATGAGAAGCCCGTGCACCGCAACCAAGAGTAGCCCCCGCTCACTGCAACTAGAGAAAGCCCATGTGCAGCAACGGAGAGCCAACACAGCCAAAAATAAATAAATAAAAATTAAAAAAAAAAAAGTAAAATCCTAGGGTGACAGGTCTCAGTTTAGTCCTACACTGTACTATACTGACTAACTTTAAAAAATATGCACTACTGACATTTTATGTATGGCTAATATTTTTAAAAATTAAAATTCAAGCAAGGGAAATTATAATAAACACAAGCACCCAGGTATTCTAACAAAAATTTATAATACTCAATTCACAGATATGACACTGAATTCATTCTAAACTTTAAATTATTTCCTGTTTCCATGCACTAAACCTGTAGACACCTGATAACAGTTGTTGGAATCCTTATATTTCATTTCAGCCATGTGATCAAGAAACAGTTCTTACAGATAAGTCCTTACAGCACTGAACTGCAGAATAAAGTATTTCAGTTACTTGTCCACCTTGAATTTTCAATACTATACCCTTAATAAGTGCTCCAATGATACAGAACCATGTTATGAATGGGATTGCCTATTAATCCATGACTCCATCAGAATCATTTTAAGGGTAGTAACAGTAAGCTAATGCTTCTATTTCAAAGTTCACAGGGAAAACTAAAATAGATCTCTAAAACCTGCATCCAAAAAAAAAAAAAATTGTTCATTTTCAGTTGCTATTTAAACAAAAATCTACTGGTGGGTTACTAACTGCAATGAATTTAGATCAAATCTCAAATATTTAAAAATACATTCAATGTTAACTTTAGAATCTTAACACCCTAGAAGTAGCCTCCATGATCTTAAGCAAAATGATGATGATGTTACTGGTGTACAGTAAGGTGTGCAACAACTTAAAGTACAGCCACTCCCCACAGAACCACAATTCAGAACACCTGAAATAAATTCACAGCTAAGACACCAGGTCAACGTACAAAGGAGCTACTAACAAAACTCTCCTCATCCTCAAATATCTACTTAAGGGCCAAGATTGACTGTTAAGAAGACATACTTTCAACGGTACAAAATAATGGCATAAAACACACAGCACAGTAAAGTATACCATTTGAGTATCAAGACTCCAGACTCCCCAGAACTTTAGGAACATAGGCTACTGTATTCCTGACGCATGCAGTTACACCTGTCGTAAATAATAATGTTTAGGACTTCATCATATGCAAAAAATAATGCATGACCAAAAGTTAGAATACAAAGAGCAGAAATAAGAATTGCTAAATCTGCTTCGCCACTACTATGGTCAGGATAATTGGTCTCATTCCTGTCTAGTAATCGGCCACAAAACGGAAAAAAGAAAGAAGACAGGTTCTTAGAGTTTCCAGCATTTGGCTGCTCATCAACTTCAGCAGTAAAGTATTATAAGAACTTTTATGTAACAGGTTTAAAGTTGTGTGCTACTTTTTAATTCTAATCTAGATATGTTCTTTTAGGCAGAGCAATACTCTACACTTTGAATCTTAGGCATCAAATATGTCAAAGTATCAGAACAATTAGCATCTACTGAGTTCTCACACCTAGAATTCACCAACAAAAAACAGGAGGTGATTATTCCACGAAAGGCCCCAAACACCAACGGTAACTTCTATTCAACTTCCTAGAAATGTGGCTTTGTAGCATGCTGTATCATCAGCTCTGCGAACACTGGTGCATAGGCCATTCTTACCTTATCTTTTTCATGTGGAAGGAGTGACACTGGAGGTAAAGAAGAAAGAGACTCACAACTCTCTTTCCCATCCACATTGGTTGCTTTAGTGTTGAGCCGATAAAGAGGTCCATCTTTAAGGAGTCTGCCGTGGCCAACGGCGCGTTTAATAGCCAATCGTAACTGCTGGTGAAAGCCAGAGGCAGCACCGCCTCCAAACAATGCAGACACATCCTTCTGACCTTTCAAAAAACGTTCAATGCTTTTCAAAGTTGAGCCACTGGACTCTGCCAAGCCCTCGACTGCCCGCTTGATCAGTTTATTCCAGTCTACATTTTGTTTATTATCCACTTTTCCATGGTTTCGAGGTTTAGGAAGTGCTATTCGCCCAGGATTATCAGGATCTTTATAGGAATTGAGTCCTTTATTTGAGACTTTCAAAATTGTTCCATCTTTGACACTCAACTCCAATTGTTCTAGAACAGTTTTACGATCCAAGCCATGGGATGAAGACACTGCATTGCATATCCTTTCTTCTGAAGGACGCTGTTTTTGCTTCTTCACTTTTTTGATGGCCTCCAAAATCCACTCCGTATACAGCGGGTTGGCGAGTTTTACCATGGTGAAGGATTCTGTATATCCATAGAGTCGTTATCCCTTATCCTGATGCTGAGTAAGTTTTACACCATGGAAAACAACATTCCCGGAGGCTGGGAACCAGTTAACCATAGCATACAAGTTTTCTGGCCTGAGTCCTTCCTCCTTTCACAAAACAGAGTGCCTCCCCACTTTTACTTTAGAAACCAAAACAACCTGTTATCTGAAATATCTTCAAACTTCTCAACAAACTTCTCAATAGCACCACACATGGGTCTGTTCATAAAGTTGTAAGAACTCAAGAACATCTCATTCCCAGCAGAAAAATGTGCATCTTATGCCTGGAAAACAATTAAAACAAGGTCAGTTTCCTATCAAGGCCCATTTTATAAATACACTGGAACTGAAACATTCTAGTCTTTAAAGCACTCAAACAGTGTTCACTGAGCACCTGTAGGAGTGTGATCAAGTTTCTATCAACATTCCAAAACGATCATGTATGTAAACCACTGGGAAAACGAAGAAAAGGAAAAAAAGATTAAAAATTAGGATACAATGAGGAAACAAGACGAGATGCACTGTGAATGACCTTAGGCTACAACTAGCCAGAGGGGTGCTGGCTATTCTGCCCTCCACAATCTCTGCTCACCAGGCTATGAATTGAAACTCTTCCTTGACATCTTTCTCCAAGAAACTATTCAGCACTTCAACAAGTATCTAGATTAGCAGAAAGAATCCTGCAATGAAAGTAAGAGTGAAACTTTCATCTTTCAAAATTCCAGACATTCAGACTGGATGAAAACAATAAGATGGACAGAAAACCATTGAGAAAATTTTAACTATTGCATATAGTAAAAGAAACAAATACAATTTCCACAAACCAAGTTCACATTTTAACATTTTAAGTATGATATTACTTTCAACATTCCAAGTGGAAACAAAATTAACATTTGAAAATAGTCAAGTGCGAAAAGTGTTCAAAGAATTTTTTTTAATTCCAATTTCCTTCAAATTTTAGGAATCACATGCTGATAAGCTTCTCCTAGTAACATTCAAGATACTGGAGAGTCCAACAACTGTCAAAATGTTCATAACCAATCTACAGACACAGCAACTAGAAATGAGAATGGCCCAGAATCACTGGGTTCAAATGTACACACTACATATCAAATGTACAGCACAGGAAAAAATGTATTGCCTGTTTGTAGTCTAAAGAGAAGACGACCTCGTAAAGATTCAAGATTGCTGTCCTGAAATGAACATTAATGAATAAGACACCAACGTATACGTATACACACACACATCTATGTATGTACACACACATACGTTGCCTCTCCAAGATCAAGTCAATATTCTTTCAGACAAAAGAATCTGGCAGATACAAATCTTTTTGAAAATCACCAAAATAATGAATTCCGAATCTAATAACTTCTTTGCTTCCAAAAATAAATTTACCTTTACCTAAATGTTTTTCAGAATTCCTCGTACTCTGAGGAGCACTTACAACAGAAACATCCTAGAAAAATGGCTCCCACAGTAATCGTTCTTCCGAGTGCCTCGAAAATCAAGAGGAAAACTAACATATGAAGAAACTGATAGTATTACTAACTCTGATAAGAAAAACAAGACTGAAGGAAACACGCAAACCTGAGCCAAGACTTCTTTTCTAAATTAGCTGACTGAAAAGCAGTCCCCCGAGAGAAGAACTCAGCTTCACCGTGGTGAGAGTCTCGAGAGGACAGAAACCATGGTATTACTCGGAGTGGGTGCACTACGGAGGCATTAACGCTACAATGAAATGAGAGGCTTCAGCCCGAGTTGCAGACGCTGGGCCCGTCCTGGCTACTTAACCTCGCAGGTGAGAGAACGAAACACAGTCACCCGCGGTCTCTCGGGCCGGGGTGGGCACGGGTCTCCAGGTCTTCAACAAGCGAAGCGCCTGCAGACCTGAGCTTTAACTCCGGGATAGTACCCCGGCGGCCGGAGAGAAAGTGCAGCTCGCCTCCGGCAGTCCTTCCCCGACCTCCATCCCCCACCCTCCCGCGAACGCCTCTTCGCGCTCTATTTTTAAAGGGAGAGAAACTTCAGAAACTTGCAACGGCACCGGCCCGCGCCTTGCAGACGGGGAGTCGGGGGCTCCCACCGGACGGGAACGGAACCCGAAGGACGAAGTTAACAATGAAATCACGTGAAAGAGTTGAGAGCCGCACATCTGCGCTCCCAGCTTCGCCGAAGCCGCGGCCGCCCGGAGACCGGTCCCGTGCGGCGGGGCGCGGGCGGGCCC